ACCCCCTCCCCCAATATTTAGTAACCTGGGATATTATTGGATCCTTAATGGAAGGTGCAGGTGAGAAATCAACTCGAAAATCATTCACATGACACATATCTTAGCAGTAATACATCTTCATTTTCAGTTGTCTTATAGAATTCTGTGTTTGTATTGCACTAAGTAATGCCCAAGAAAAGCCATCGTTTCTATGATGGATTGGATTTTTAATCAATATTTCCGGATGATCCAGGTGTTCATAAACTGGACTAAGGCGATTGATCTCCACTAATCACAGCACGGATACAGGGGGCTCGTTTCGCATTTGCCAGTTTACGCCGTCTCTGGTGAACACGAAATATTCGACTATCGACCAAAGGGCAGGTGTACTGCTTATCATTCCGCTCCGTCCTCCTTTATGGCTGTGAGACCTGGCCACTGGGAGTAAAAGACATGAAAAGATTAGCTGTCTTTGACCATAGGTGACTGCCTGCATTCTATCTCCCGTGTGAAGTGGCATAATAAGGTGAGCAATATTGATGTTAGGCGTCGAGTTCTAGGTAAGTGGGAGGGGAAATCAATCGACGAAGTTGTGAAGTTACAAAGACTGAGATGGTTAGGACATGTGTTATGTATTGCTGCCTAGTCATCGCCTTCCTCGACAACAGGAAATGTTAGCTGACAAAAGGTCAGTCTGGAAAAGAGTTAGCTAGCGGAGGTCAAACAAAAACATGGCACCAGTCAATGAAATCTACAACAGTTAGTTTAGGCCAGTCACGTAGAAAGGTGTAGACTTCCTGATTGGTTGGGGTCCTCGGGACGGTAAAAACCAATGGTTGGAAACAATTGGTGACATGGCTCAAAATCTTTCTCAATGGCTAGCGCGAATGCATCCACTCCTTGTGATTTATGATTTCCATTGAAACTGTTTGTTCTTCGTTATTACTTTTCCTTTGTCTCACACCTCTGCTTACTGTCTCTATTATGCTTTTCTTGTACTTTTTTCTCTTGCTTTGTGTGGTACAAGGAGGGAGTGTGGCGATTTGAACTGCCGCACATATGTGCAGAGTTCTATGTTGAAAACAGACAGACAGAATCACAAAAAAACAAAGTCTTACTATATGCGACACCAAGGTGTCCGTAGAAAGTAGTCATCAGTATGCCATCAGAGATTATTGATCAATTATCCACTTCCATAGCTATTTATTTAAACACAGAAAAAACCTGGTACAATATGGCACCAAGAAAGATGCGCCACACAATAATAATAAAACAACATAGATCAGAAGTAAAAAATATAAGTAGAGAACGGATAAAGACCTTCATCTGGAAGGAAAACAGTCATACTTAACAAGTTCAAACAGTATTCGTAAACTATCATCGGGAAGGGAAGAAAGAAGGAAATTGCAACATGTCCGCCATTGATTACGATTCTTTGCTATATCCGATAACGTTTCGAGCCATCGATTTGAGCTATCTCTCGGACCCCAACCAGGGAGTCGTGATGCACCAACCGATGCTAATCTAGAACAAAAATCCTTCATCCCACGACGCCACATCATGGACAAATCCCCCTCCGCCTTTTCCGTCCCGTTCCAGGGATGGCTAGCAAACAGATACCTCTACGGAAGCCTCCTCTGGGATGACATTTGCAGCACATGTCCAAGCCACTGGAGCCGGTGTTTGTTTCCAGATGACGATACTGAATGAATGGTGATCTCCACTGTGTCCAAACACACGCCACCAGACTTCAGAATTACTCACGCCATCGAACGCAAGCAATCCTACTGAGACAGTGATGATCGAACACGCAGAGTCCGCGCACATCCTCAGCCCACTCGAAGAGACCAGGTTTCACAGGCGTAGAGGAAGACAGACCCCAGCGAAGCATTGTATACCCGACCTTGATAGCCAGGTGTCTGAAGTTGATGTTTGTCACCCTAGCCTTCATAATACGGTTGTAAATCTCATCCATCACCTCTCCGCCAACACTCACACCACTACCCAGATAATACACAAACTTATCAACAACTCGATACCTATAAAAACAAGAAAGTATGAAATAGTCGACCAGTATATTGGTAGTGTTGTATATTAATTTTCCCAATTTTTCCAATTGACATGAAAGTAAGTATATTGGCGATAAATTCGTTTTATCTATGTCAATTGCAAAACAGATTTTGTTAGTCAGTACATTAGATCTTCCCCCACCCACTACCATCGGATATGATCTGATCATATCACTACTGTTTTCATTTTTGTTGTTATTGTCGTTGCTGTTAAATTCCATTAGTGTAGCATCGATAAAACATTATCTTTAAATAATCTAATAAAGACTAAATAACATTCAACCCTATATACGACATTAAGATCAAAATTAAGTTTTTTATCCATTTATATGTATGTATAAAGTACAAATGAAAAAGTTTTGTTTGTGCATATTTGTAAGAGATACCCTAACCCTGTGCATATACCATGTCTATAGATGGCTATAGGTGGACACTTATGTCCATCTTAAATGGATTCTCCTAATGCGAAACTTATAAAACAGAGTACAACAAAAAAAACGAACAATAAATTATAAAATAAACATGTACAGACAAGAAATTGAAAAATATAAGGAAAATAAAGTAAAAACTCTAATCTGACAGTCTTAATAAAGAAAGAAGCAACAAATCAAGCCTTAAAATGTACTTTTCATATCTATTTCACACGGTAGAGTAACTTTGTTTTTAGACAAAACTTTATGAGATGAATGCATTTCATTGTCAATGATTCTATAAACGATATCATCAATTCGTTGTCATACTCGAGTAAAAACAAATCTAATTCTTTATAAATCGACTCTTGAAAATTTCAAGTAATTGGTTTGTAGATATTTGATTGATTGGTTAGAAGATTTCATCATGAGCTTACATCGGTTAGGGAAGCACTGGAAAACCTGTAGGGGCATACTGGGCAGCTGTTTCGTCCTAGTTTGGGACTCTTCAGATGCTCACTAGCGACGGACCCTATTAAGGTAGTCACCTGAAATTCTTGTGGGAAGCTGAGACTAGTAGGGTACTTCAGGCCGGAAGTGAGGACAAATACTCACCAGTGACGTCATTCACTAGTAGTCACGCTATGTTGTGAATTAGCAGAAGCTAGAATTCCTTGGCTGGCAGTTGAATTGGGTCCCGGTGGCTTAATGGTCTACGGGCTAGCTTAACTTGAATCCAGAAGGTCTTGGATTCGAACCCTGGGGGTGGGTTCGTACTGATTTTTATTTTTTAAAATTTTATTTTTGATTACAGCTTGATTTTACTCTGTATTTTTGGTACAGGTATGGAATTTTCAGCGTATGATATCGGTAGCCCAAATTTTGCAGGCCGACCATAGATATCAGATGTTCGTCGGCGGGGGATCGAACCTCGGACAATGTGCATGGACAGCGAGAGTCCGAACCATTGTGCCACCGACGCACTTACATCCTCTGTGAGTGACGATCGCGAAGCCTACACTCATCGTTTCAAAACACTCAAGCGTTTCCACTCACTGGAAATGCAAGTAAATCTAGAAGACCAGTCCCAAATACAATGCGATGTGCGTCTGGGATTTCTTCGCTGGTCAGAGAAAAAGGGATTACAGTCGTGTAGGCTGTAATAAAATCTCTTGGACGTTGAATAAATTTTGAAAGCAATTATTACCATCTCATTATTATTAGGATGCATAACTTTGAGAAACCTTAAAATAAGTAAGGTTTGCTGAATAACAGTTTTTCTTAACAAGTAATTGGTTTGTAGGTATTTCATTGATTGGTTAAAGTATTTCATCATGAGCTGACATCAGTTAGAGAACCACTAGAAAACCTTGGAGTACTGGACAGCTGTTTTGTCCTAGTTTGGGACTCTTCAGTAGTACGCAGTGGTTCTCTAACTGATGTCAGCTCATGATGAAATCCTCCATGCAATCAAACAAAAATCCCTACAACACCAATACTTGAAAATTAATCTGATGCTCATTAGCGACTGGCCCTACTCATCAGGCAGTTAACCTGGGGTTCTAGTGGAAAGCCGTGACCAGTAGGGTACAGCAGATCGAAGATGAGGCAGTAACTCATCGAAGAAGACATTACGAAATGGTCGCGCTATGTCGTGAATTGGCAGAAGTTAGAATTCGAGAACCAATGAATTGGGTCCCAGTGGCTCAATGGTCTACGAGCTCGGTGGCCTTGTAACCAGAAGGTCCTGTGTTCGAACTTTGTCAATGGGTGCGTACTGCTGCAAAGTCCCGAACTAGCGCGGACGAAACAGCTGTCCAGTCCTCCCTGCAGGTTTTCCAATGGTTCTCTAACTGATGTCAGCTCATGATGAAATCTTCCATGTAATCAAACAAATATCCCTACAAAAGCAATACTTGAAAATATATTTGATTGTAAATATAAATTTATGTAGGCGGCTAGAGCTTTTATGTTGCACTAAAACTATTGCTTACTACTGACCTAATATCGAATGCATAAATTACTGGTATATATGTATACAATATTTGTCTGTAGTGACAAAAAAAAACACACAAATGAAATTTGTTTTTTACAGCACACAGAATGATTCAATGACAATGAATGAATTAATTAATTAATTAATTAATCAGAAGTTATGAAAGTAGTGAAAAGTATGAACTTATCAAGTGTATTACATGTATGTGTTTTGTTAGTCAATTTATTAGTAGTTAGTAGAGATGCCTCAGTGGCGTTCTATAATATTACTGTTAAGGTTGGTGACCAATAAGAATTCATGATATTTCATACTTATTGTGTGATTCCATATGTATATATATGACAAATTTGCATAATTCTTATGTGATCTGAGCTACTAATGTCAGTCAGCATTGTGCTAGTTAATAAAAAGCATTGTTCCACTGTACTACTCAATTATTCATCAATTTATTAAACAATGAAACCATTTCTTATCGTCTAACTTGACTTATTATATTTACTTCTTTCTTTTCTTTCATTACATTTCCTACAATTCAAAATAAACAAGCAGGCGGTCAATTTGTTTCAATCTCCTTAGCTGATTATCTCGACGAATTAACCAAGCAATCAGAAATACCTGGGAAAAAATTTCATAAATTATTATTACCTCGTGAAGGGATCAGTCAATTTCAAGCGTCACACAAAAAAATGATTTATCCCTTGAACAGTAATAAATCTCATCTGTCGACATCTTCAATATCATCGTTATCAACACAACAGTTTGATTTAAACAATAATAATAATAATGATAATGATAATAACAAAGATAATAATGATGATTCGATCGATGAACATTTAGACAATAATCAAGATCATAATAATAAAAACAATCATTCCAAGCCATCATTCTCAATGGATTATTATAATTATTTGAAAAAGAGACGTGTATTTCTAATTGACAGACTGTTAAGTCGTTACAGTGAATTAATAAAGTTGTTGAATGAAGAATTAGTAAGTCTGAAATAATATTCGTATTTAATGTTTATATATATATATATATATATATATATATATATATATATATATATAGACCGTCTGTATAGACGGTGTTTATATACATTATGGTTGTGATTAAGATTTAACTGTCATTTATTAACTGATTGTGTTTAAATTGAACATTGAACAATTTCAGTGTTTTTAGTTTAAATGAATGAATAAGTTTTCTGGAGAAACGTACATATATCTCAATGAAAAATTATAATTTCACCACCTTAAAACTTGAATACTATAGACCTATCCATTTTTAAATAAGATTTAATTAGTATCTTCATTTTTGATATTGTATGTTCTTTACTAATGAATTACGATCTATAAAAGTTGAAATAATTATACATTTGTTAGAGAACCGTTGGAAAACCTGGGAGTACTGGACAGCTATTTCGCTAGCACTCTTCATCAGCATGAACCCACCGGGATTCGAACCCAGGTCCTTCCGATTACAAGGCGAGCTCGTAGACCATTAAGCCACTGGTACCCGGTCCAATAGTCCTTGAATTCTAATTTCTCCCACTTCAAAACATAGCGCGACCGCTAGTCAATGTCTTCGGCGAGTATTTGTCTCCACACCCGACGTGCTGCACCCTACTGGTCACGACTTCCCATTGGAACCGAGGTAACTACCTATCTGAATAGGGTAAGTCGCTGGTGAGCATCTCAATGATATTCAAGTGTTGGTTTGCAGGGATTTAGTTGATTGGTTACATGATTTCATCATGAGCTGACATTAGTCAGAGAACCATTGGAAAACCTGGTAGTGACCAGTAGGGTGCAGCACGTCGGGTAGGAGGACAAATAGCGGTTGCGCTATGTCGTGAATTGGTAGATGTTAGAATTCATGGGTTGACCGTTGGATCGGGTCCCAGTGGCTTAATGGTCTATGAGCTCGCCTTGTAACCGGAAGGCTCGGGGTTCGAATCCCGGTGGGTCGGTACTACTGAAGAGTCCCAAACTAGGCTGGCGAAATAGCTGTTCAGTACACCCAGGTTTTCTAATGGTGCTCTGACTAATGTCAGCTCATGATAAAATCCTGAAACCGATCAAATCCCTACAAACTGACAATTGAATTATAAATTTGTTAAGATTTTTAGTATATTTATTGTACAGGTTTTAAAATTTCTCCCTATGAAGTGGAACACTAGGTTCTATCTAAAGGGCATCAAAAAAACAGACCTCAGCTAACAGATAGTCTCAATCGATATACGCAAATTTCAAAATAAATGTTGTTTCAAAATACTGAAATATCGCAATTTTACTCATCACATAAACTACCACTGCTTTACACTCCCGCTTTCACTGTCACACAACTGCTTGAGGATCAAATCTCTTAGTAAGGCTTTAAATAAACAAAAATTCGATTTCGATAACATCAGTCATTACAAACATTCAGATGACAAGCGAAAATCATCAAAGAAGAATGCACGAAGTATCTAAATTTAACGAACACTCTCAAATGACTAAAATCAATTCACTTCAACACAAGGTAACCCCTAGGTTAGTCAGATTAATGTCTTCTTCATCCAACAGGTGATTTCTCGTTAGATTGAATCCCTACATCCACACACGTAAACTCAAATTCCAGTGATCATACCATAAACTCAAAATAAATCAAGAATACGTCAATTATAAACATCAACAAATATTCACGGTGTGTTTTCATTCATGACTCACACTGACAAAACTCGTTGGTGACACTAATAAACACACTGGCGCCAAATAACGAGTGAACAGCAGTCGCGTGTTCACTCTACAAAGCTACCGAATTCTCCTCCCCCACTATCGGGATTCAAAGTATTTCCCCATGTTCACGATAAAGGCGTGTCACATTCCTACTAGCCGAATGACAACTTCACCACATCAACGTCAAACCAGGAGTACCACCACTCAACTCAATCTAGTTGACCACTGTATTTCACTAGCTAACTCAACACATCAATACTAATTAAACTAGTTCATACAAACAGACAGACAAACAAATAAATAAATAAATAGACAAACAAGTCTCATGTCACAACATGAGTAAAATATGCAGTAGTGCTTTGTTTTTCTATATACACTGCACAACACAGAGAGACTAGGAGATTATCAGTCCAATGTACAATGTTTACAATTAGTCTCATGTTGATAGGAGATGACTGAATGGCAGGTGGAGACATATCACTGTCAGTGAGTATGTGAACGTCTTCGAGCACTGTTTGTTTGACTCCACAAGTAGTATGTGTGTGTGGGTGTGTGGATTGTGTGTTCAATTAGCATAGAGTTGTGAAATTAAAAACACATGAATAATGACAGTATATCTGCCCTTAATATTAACTTATTTAAAATATCAAATTGCTTTAGCCATCTAAACGAAAAATGAAGTCTTGAGCACATTGGCAAAGCAGTTGCATGATCAAGGCAACTGGTGGAAGAGGCGATGACTACGTATTAGGTTGAATAACAATGCACTGGGTTCAGCTGGAATCGGCTGAGAACACAAGACAACCAAAATTGCATTCCAGGGAGGCGGGAGAGGGTAAAGTCAGGGATTACGCAATCAGTTAAAATAGATACTGTAGAAATCAAGTTGCAGAGTCAGGGTTTAACTGATAACGTCTTCTTTCTGAACACACAAATCGGCTTTCAGGCATTCGATGGCAGTGCTTTAAGGCAAACTTGAGAAGAATAGAATTACTTTGTCTACTGATCAATTTAAAGGATTTATTGGTGTCGGTCACGTGACTCTCATAGACAAGATGCCTGGAAGTGTCCCTATTGAAGGCGTTTGTTTCGTTGAGACGTAGGCTTTTTGACAAATTTTCCGAAAACTGAAGCTGTACCCTACTTTCCGTTCTCATAACAGTGCCATTGTAAGGCACCTCGTTTCTCTTGCAAGATGTCAGATATTTAGGCTTTTTTCTAGTGATGCATCCATACACCACAAAGATTTGTCGACTATTAATTTCAACAGGAAATAATCAATTATTATTAGCCTGTATCTATGACTGTCTTCTTTCTGTTGTCTACAATGAGTCATGATAAAAATGATTTTTGTGATTCATGTGTGACGTAGAACTAACTAGGTGAAGAGTGTTAAGCATTTTTTGTTTGTTGTCATCTTCATTGCTTGCTTATTGTGTAGTTAGCATACACAGACAGCTTGTTCAACATGTAACAACATTTCAACTGACTTTATTTACTTACCTACAGTACTAATAAAACTAAATACGTGTGTGTCTGTGTGTGACAAGTGAGAGTAGAAGGGATTTTTTTGTCGCTAAATACACTGACAGTTACAAATAGCTTAAAAATGCATAATGTCTATTTTTTGAAGTATTCCAATGTAATGAAACACGAATTTACCAGATTAAGTATCGAATTCCCTAGACAAGAGGATCGTCATTCTTACTCACTTCCTATCGGGAAAGCCCTCTGAAGTCTTTCTACACAAAACCCATTTGTCAAATATCCAGACTGGAAAGATCCTGAACCTGAAAGTATATCTGTCATAATCAATAGTTGTTTTTTTTCCAAAAAAGCACATTACTCTAACCGTTTAAGCGCCCAAAAATATACATCATGAAAATCTACTTATTCAAACCACTATTTGATCAAGTTTTTCAATTCATTTTCTAGCCTACTACAGCTTGATGGAGTAATAATGTTCTCATATAGATCATGAGAGTTATAAGATTTAATAATGTGAAATATTCCCATATCATGAATTAAAAGTCAATCTGAAGGAAGATGTCAAAGATGTCTTACCTAACCTTAGCTCTTATTCATGCATATACCATTTCGACTGTTCCTATGCTTCAAGTTATATAGGGCTTATGATTAGGCAGGTTCGTCTTCGAGTTCGAGAACATTTACCAGCTTGATTCAGCAGACGGGGGGAAATTAAATGCATAAAATACTCGATCCTATCACACTTAGTCGATACTGAACATCGCATCGATGTCAACACACCTTTCAGGTTTATATATATATATATATATATATAATTCCGAAGTCGTTATCACTTAAGTCTTCTACACATAGCTGAAGCTGTTGCAGTAAGATCGACTAAACCGGAACTTTGTATCCAAAAAGAACACCTTCAGACGCTGTTCCTAACGTGGCCAAACTTGGATTGATGTTTCTTCTTCTCACCAAGAGTGCTTCTTCCCCTTAACCCTCTTGGTTTTTTCCCTTTACTATTTATTACAATTATTATTATTATTATTATTATTACTATTCGTCATAATTTATGCCCTTCATGCAAACATTCCCTCAATACTATCGAATTTTCCATTTATACTATCCGGACTTATTATTAGTGATATTATCTCTTTTCTCAATATATCCCTCCACCTCTTTCGTTTCACACATTCTTTATTTCATTATGAACTTCTCATTTCAGCCTTACTATCTCCTGTTTAATGCAGACCACTTTGTACTAGCCACTTACTCACCTGACACCTATAAACTTGAACTGATTTGTCAATTCTCCCTACCCCACTTTACAATATTTTGTAATCGATTTCAGCCAAGGACAACGTTTGTCACACAAATACGACCATTCATTTTGAAACCCCATAACTAATCTGTTATTCTACGTTAAAAATGTATCCGCCACATGACTAATTGGCCATTATTGTAACGACAGTAAATATTATATTTTATAATTGTAAGAACCTGAAGAAGAGAAATTATTGAAAAGAATATTCTTCGTTCAGATTGACTTTTAATTCACATAAATCAGTTTTTTCCTTCAAATTTAATAGAAAGCCATAAAGAAAATTTGGTTATTTGAATGATCACACAGTCACGTTTACTACTAACAAAACGTTCGAAAGGCCAATACTGATCTTCATGCTAAAATATCAGTCATTTGTATCGTTGTAATTCCTTTTCTTTGAAACGGGGTCTTTATTCTACAATACATATTTAGGAGACTATGTGGGTGGGGGAAATGACAGCTTATGGGCAGTGGT